TATTGAATTTGGACTGTAAGTAATTTTGTATTAGGAAATTGTATTTCATCGTGAGATGTTTTGAGATAATGTTAAATTAGGTTAAATATAAAATACATATTTTATAGAGTTGAGAAGCCTGCATTAATTTATGTCTTGGTTTTGGATCTGATAATGAAAGAACTGAATCCAGAAGAAGAAATTTTACATAAAATAGTAACAACAATATCAATATTCTTACTTAAGAGTAATTTATTATCCAAAAAAGTTAATTTAGAAAACAACATATGATTAATTTCCAACATATAAAGTCAGAAATAAACATTAAATGCTCTTAAAGGGCATTTACTGCAAAGGGCAGACCAACAAGTCTGCCTGACGAGAGGTAAACCTCGAAACACGTGTAAGGTTGTGGTAGAAATAGAATTGATGAAATGCAACCTTACACTTTTTTTATTATTTCTTTAAAAGTGTAAAAAGGTATAGGAACCATAAAATTAGGAACTAACAAATAAAAATCAGTTGAGAAAACGCATCAGAGTAAAGATAGAGAAACATAAGTAGCTGTAAGGAGGGTAAGTAATAAAATGCAAGTTACATAAGTAAATTAGGACAATTTAAGAACAAAGAAAGGGAGTTGTTTTTTTAATTTTTGGCCTAGAAGGAAGTTATAGCAGGCGAAATTTTAGGTTAGGTAATGTTAGAACTAATTTTAGAAACGGTTAAAAAACCAAAATGAGCTAAGGCAAACATGATCAAAACCGCTGAGCTGCTCTACAATCAAATAATTTACTGCCGCGAATGCACTGACAATGAATTTTCAATTTTGAACTAAAAAGGAATAAAAGGAAAAACCTTGTCAAAAAGAAATATAAACAGTAGATATGTTAAAAAGCAGAAGTTTGGCCTACATACAGAATAAAGGTGCAAAAATATATAAAGAAGTAAGATCACAGCAATCTTTAATTATAGCAAACACAGCAAGGCATCAAACATTCATCAAAAAGCAGTAAAAACCTCTAAATTCCTCATTAACATCTTCTTATTTAACGAAAACAACATATTATTTCGGAAAACGACCTGTTTAACCAATACACATTTGTGGTAACGTCTAATATATAACAAGTAACACTGTTCTTCCAATTATGTAACATTTAACATATTTTTCAACAATTATACAGTAAGTTTTTACGCACAACTTGTCACGAAAACACAAACACCACACAGTCACATTGAGAATACATATTTCTGTCATATAGAATCTTCTCTCAACGACATTGCTCAGAATATTTAACGTTAATTTGTTAAAGTGATAAAGTTATGATAAAAACAGCATTTATATTAAAAAATAAGGTTATGTTAGTAAGTTAATTGCATCGAAAGTTTATTAAACACGGGAAATATTTTTATGGTATTATTTTTAAGAAAGGAATGACCATTTATGTCATATATTCCTTTTTCATCGTTATATATTTTCATTTACATTATTTTTTATATTTTTTTTACTATTTTTAGTAAACTATTCACAATATTGATGACTTCGCGACATTGTTTTTGTGAAACTAACTTCAAAGTCTTGATTTTGCACTAAATTGACCAAAGTTATCATAATCAACATTCATTTCAAACGTTTTTTTTTGTGAATTTGTTTATAAATGGTTAGTAAATTTTGGATATATTTTAGTAAATAGACATATTGCTGGAAATACATGATTTTAAAGGTTTCCGGAGAGTTTTAACTTTACCTGGTATGGGAATAAAACGAGAAATTTGATTTGTTTAGAACAAAAATAGACATAACTTAAAAAAATCACCGTAGCTATTTGGCATACACGTATTCTGTATTGAGCTCCCAATTAAATTACAAATACACAACACTGGCAGCAACTTCCATATCATTTTATCGTTTAAATGTATCATTTTAACACTTTTAACGGTTATTATCAAGCAATTCTTGTAGAAAGTATTCAATATGACAAAAACATATATTCAAACACTTACTTATCGTATAGAGATGAGTAAAAGTAGAGTCACGTGAAACGATTTGTCCATGAAATGATCAGAAAACAAGGAAATGTCAACTGTCCATACATATGATACAAAATTGTTAATATAACTGTACAATATTCCTTAAAATCTAACTATATGTAAGGAGTTTCAGGTACCAGGTTCTTTAACTATACGGAATGCCTCGAAAACGTTCGATGTATTATCCCCAACTGTTTGAGGCACTCCGTAGAAAAATGTAATATTACTTTCACACCAACTTAAGTAATTTTTAGCTTAAATCTAACATGTATTCATTCTATTAATTGAATTTTTGTTTTTATCCTAAACGTTAATTTTTTTTTTTAAATATTAAATAAATTGGTGTGATGATACACTCTTTAGAATTGGGCATGTGGGTGACTCTTTCATTTTATTCTGCTCCTTCACTTCAAGTTATGCACAGATATTGTGGAGAAGAAAGAACGGGATAGTTTTTTAGAATCGTAGGTAAAAAAATTTTGGTCTAGAAAGGGGTTATGGCAACTATGAAGCGAAATTTTAGGTTAGTTTAGGTTATGTTATAAATAATATAGAAACATTGAAAATTAGTGGACCAATTTAGACGTATCTTCCAATTTTGCTAGTAACTAATAACGAAATATGGTGGTTTAATAGTATAGTCAAACGTTTCTTGCTTTGAGCGAGAGAGCTGCCGGACTCGGATCCCGGTTAAAACCGAAAAGCTTCTATTTCTGGTCAACTTCAAACTGATGCGAGTGAACTGCGAGTTACTCAAAAATTATATTATTTGTGTGATGTAAGGGCAGATTTATAAACAAAAAATATGGGAACACAAAATTTACGATGAAGCTGAATATAAACACTCAGTGTTGCAGTTTCGCAACTGCGCAATATTTGTAACGTATTAACAAACTTTTTGATAGTTTTGATTTTCCCCGTATATTTAAACGAGGTTTTCGTGTACAAGGGCACAGCGATTTTAAGAACTAGTTTACAAGAACAAGATCATCTGCGAAATATCACCAGACGTGTGTGTGTGAGATTAGGGTCGTAGAATTTCATCTACAAAATCAGAGTTGAGTTTTGTCTCACAAAAGATCCACACGTGGTTTTGTTTGAGGGTTGTGCATCGGCACAGCGATTTTAAGAACTAATTTACAAGAACAAGCCATCTGCGAAATATCACCAGACGTGTGTGTGTGAGATTAGGGTCGTAGAATTCCATCTACAAAATCAGAGTTGAGTTTTGTCTCACAAAAGATCCACACGTGGTTTAGTTTGAGGGTTGTGCATCGACACAGCGATTTTAAGAACTAATTTACAAGAACAAGCCATCTGCGAAATATCACCAGACGTGTGTGTGAAAGATAAGGGTTGTAGAATTCCATCTACAAAATGAGAGTCGAGTTTTGTCTCCCAAACGATCCACACGTGGTTTGATTTGAGGGTTGTGCATCCTGCCACAAAACTACACATGAAAAAGAAAATGGAAAAAAGGTATCTACTATCAGACAACCAAAACCACAAATAGAAAAAGAAGAAAATCCGGCTCGAAGGACCATTATGTGCAGAACTCAATATAATCAAAAAAAAAAAAAATATGCGAAGGGGCTGAAGCATCAATGTGCGGGTCTAATTTTTCGGCGTCTAATGTATAAAAACCTAGAAAACGATTTATATTAAGCACAATAAAATGAAACGAGCCACAGTATCCTGTAACTTATATGTAAAAGTTTTGATTTTTGCTCGACCTAACCTAATAAATTATACAGGATGGGCAAAAAAATTAAACAAACGTAGTATGTATGCATTTTAAAAATTGAAAAAATTTCATTCACCCTGTATAAACTTTGTTTTTCTTTAATAGCGATCTGCCCTCTTCTAAACAGTGTTAACAATTAAAGTATGGTTATTTTTATATTGAGCAATATAATAAATATTTACAATACGAAAGGAAATAAAAAATTCGTTGTAGTCAAATACTCCCAAAAATATTGCCGAGAAATTCAGTGTTTATATCCATCGTAAAAAAAATCAGTTCTTAACAAATTATTACTTTTGTAAAGCTGGCTTCTTTAGTTTGGATTCGAGTTGTAATGGGCAGTAAGAGAGCAAAAGGCGAGGAAAGGTGCTTATCCAAAATATCCGAAAGAATGATCTTAACATTAGCACCAGGTCAAATAGAAATTCAGTAACTTATATAAGTTCCTCGTTAAAAAAGTTCTTTGGTTTAATTGCATATATCGGAATATACGGGCCCAGGCTCAATACACACAGTAAACATAATTTTACAAGTTTTTTAATATATGCGAAATCTATACCAATGATGAAAAACATTTATTAATTTCTATTAATCGCATCAATTACTAAAGTTATTAGCGGGATTTAATCTTTAAAATTTTAAAATAAAAATTGTTAAAAAAAAAAGTTAGGTTATGTATATCTTATTCTGTGAAAGTGGTTAAAACACCAAATCACGTCATAGCTCTATACATATCTCTAACTTAATAGTAATGGTGTAATGTGTAGTGGATAATCTATTACAAAAGGAGCGATGCTGAACTGGCAAGTCGATCGGTCAGTCGTTGTAGTTACAATAAACAATATCAGCACAAAACAAACTATATTTATTATTTTGTTCTGTGATTTTTTAAACTTTACTTAATAAATTGTCACTAATTCTTTTGTGACTTTTTATCTTAATCATGATAAACATTGAATTTTTTACTGCATTGTATATTTTAATATATATTTAGTGGTAGTTCTGCTAATTGTGACAGAATTGTGTGCTGTGGGGACGTAGAGGAAGAAGTGATTAATATCACCTAATTCTCGATATCTACATTCTGGATTTCTTGTCATTAATATTTTATTTAGATGCTGACAAGTGAAACAATGTAGTCATGAAAAGGTATAGGTATCACAAAAAGTGTGAAAGCATCAATAAAAGCTGTCAGTATTAAATTTTGTTCTATATTTCCTTCTTGTTTTTTTTTGATTTCTTTCTTCTTAGTGACGGATCTTTTTAAAACTTTTTTTAGTCAAATCAATTGAAGGACAGTGGTTCGATGAAGAGTGTCGTAAGATAACAGAGAGGAAAAATAATGCATATCAACGGCTACAACAACGACATAGAACACGAAAGGCAGAGGAGGAATATAGAATGCTAAGGAGGGAAGAGAAGAAAAACCATCGCAGAAATAAAAGAAAACAAATAGAAAAGGAACTCCAAATGGAAGAACTAAATAAACCATCAGAAACCAGAAAATTCTACCAAAAACTTAACAAAAGTAGAAAAGAATTTAAACCAAGACAACAATGATGTGCAGGGATAAAGGAGGAGATATAGTAACTCAACAAAATGAAATACTACAAAAATGGACATAATTCTTCAAAGAAAAGTTTGAAAAAAAAACGAAGATCCACTATATGATGGACTTATACTGGATCAACGGATACCAGAGAAACAACCCCCCTTCAGTAGCTTAAATGCAAGAAACAGTTACCAGACTGAAAAAACAACAAGTCACCTGGATTAGACAACATTAGCGCAGAATTAATAAAGGAAGGTGGAGACTCCTTATTGAATGCTATACACGAACTAATAGTGAACATATGGAATAATAAACAAACTGCCACAAGACTGGAATACAGGAGTACATCACACTACATAAAAAGAGAGATTAGCATCAATGTAAAAACTATCGGGCAATAACGCTACTAATTGTGGCATATAAAATACTGTCAAATATTGTGTATGACCGATTGAGACCACATGCAGAACAAATAGTTGATGGATATCAATGTGGTTTCTGCAGGCAGAAGTCCACAACAGATCAGATCTTCGTCTTGAGACAAATCTTGGAAAAGACTAGTGAATTTAATATAGACACACATAATCTTTTCATTGACTTTGAGAGTGCCTATGCTAGTATCCATCGAGAATTTCTAATCCATGCACTAAAAGAGTTTATTATTCCAACTCAACTCATTGATATAGTAAAAGAAACAAAGTAAAAAATAAAGGAATATTATAAATAAAAACAAAGGGATAATACTTCAGCAGAACATGAGTACAGAAAATGAAAGCAGAAAACCAAGCTATCTGATCGAATTTTTTTGCGGCTATCACTTCACAGCAAATTAAATTTTCATTTTTTTAGTTGACATTCATTTTACTCTTGTTATAATAGTTTTTCGTTTCATTTACAAAGATTTTGCATATATTAAAGCCTTGTCCTTACCTGTTAACCCATTTTGAGCCTGGGCTCATAACAAATACAGCTATTTAAAAAAATAATATTCGAGATAAACACTTTTCCACCGCAATTTTCACAGAAAAAAAGCTGGAGTAAAAAATTTAGAAACTTAAAAAATTCTTCTAGTCATTGTCGTATTTTTCTTTAATAACGTTACCCGTTAGGACCCAGAATGGGACTCTTTCTCCTGCTCGTGTCAGTCGCATTCAACGTTTCATTTAAGGTAGTCATCTGAGTTCCGTTCAAAGACGTTCCATTCAGGGAGACATCTCGAGAAGATTCCGAAGAATGGACCTCGTCGCAAGAACTGCGAATGTCTTCGCTTTGGCCGAAGTGCGGGTTGCAACGATGGTGGTTGGTCTTCAGTTTCTTCGAGTTTTCGAAAAGTTTGTGCAGGTCGTAGAATTTCGAAGGTTTGACGTTGGAATTCGAGTCTTCTTCGAAGCGCAGAGGGGTGAATCTTTCTTGCTGTTTGTTGGCCACCTGACCGTTGCAGTTGAAGGCATAATGAAACTAAACAAACAAGAAAGTATTGAAAAGTAGTCTACACAATCTAAATTATCAAATTAAATTACTACAATAACAATATATCACCTGTTAGCTTGTTCTTTGTACATGTACGGTATTATTTACAAATATTTTTTTTATATTACGTCACTTTTCTATTTACAGAACCTAAAACCATGAAATTTAGCCGTTATCCATAGACAATAGAATATGTACATCAAACAAAAACAACAATATTATAAAGGACGACGATTGATTCAGATATTGTCCGCTGTGCATTCTGAAAAAGGAGTTTTTATTTTTAGAATATTCCTGGGAAACAATTAAATTGCCTAGCACAGCAATTTTGTGTTGAATGTGTATGAAACTTTGAATTGTAAATTCTTTCTCCGTTTATATTAATTCATCTATTTTCCCAGTTTAGTTGTCTTAGAAATATTCTCCACAGTAATCGTAGATAGTTTTGGCGATAGAGTATCCGTTTATTCCATTTTTCTTTCTATTTTTGTACTTTTGGTGTCTGTGACAAGTAAATGTTTGCGACCATTTAAGAAATTACAGTCGTGAAACATGTAAAACATATTAAGATAGGACGTCTGAGGTGGATAAGGCATGTAATGCGGATGAAACAAAATCACCTAGCTAGAAAAACGCTCCTTGATAGACCCATTGGTCAAAGAAGAGGAAGGGTCTTCCTTAGAACAAGGTTCCTTAATAACATCGATGAAGACATGAGAAATATGGGAATACGTGCTTGGCGGAGAAAGGCGATTGATAGGAACAACTGGAGAGAAATTCTTAAGGAGACTAGGACCCCGCAGGGTTGTAAAGCCAGAATGATGATGATAACTGATGAACCAAACTTCAAAATCAAGGACGACAATTTTGAGACAATCTACGTCATTTCAGAATAAGCTGAAAAGGTATCAAATAACTAAAACTCGAGAAATAGGTATATCATCAAAAATAAAATTATTATCGGCACATACCTGTGGATTTTCTGTAATATGGACATGACCGTTCATATAGGGTTTAGCTGATCCATTTGTATGCCCGTTTGGAAACTCTTCTCCTCCCTGCAAGTAAAAAAGTTTATATGTTAACATAGAAGTAAGCATATTTTTACTTGCTGAAAATATTATATAACTTAGGAAAAACTTCCCAGTGGTTGGCTGTATATCATAATGTAAAAAAAAAACCTAGAAGGAAATGTAAAACTCCTTGTGTAATTGGTATATTAAGTTAATAATGAAAAGATCCAAAATGGTTACAAAATTTCAAAAATTTTTTGGTCTTACCTTTCTAAAAATCTAAAAATTCTTACCTTTGTATCAAGATGATCAGCTTGGACAGGAGGTATGTTAGTCGTTCCTTCGGATACCAAAAATTGACTCTCTTGCTCTTCAGCATCGCACACTTCCTCTAATCGGACTTGGACTGCTCCCACTTCGGACGCGTAATGCGCAACCGCGGGATAGTAATTATTGGAAGGTGCCATCCTGGATCTGGCTAAAGCTCTCCGTTTGACGCATCGCCGGCGGACTAGAATGTACGCCATGCAGCAGACTATGCATAGCAGGGCTATTATCGTACCAATTATAAACCCTGTAAATACAAGAACTTAATTTACAAATCAATTTTGGAAAGATTTCATTTTGCTAGCGAAACGACTAGCACAGAGTGTAGTTTTCATTCGTCGAGTGCTTTAGACAAAATAGTACAAAGTGTCACGTCTTTGATATATATTCCTTCACCTTTTATTATTAGAAATTTTTTTCTGTAATATTTGAGGATTGGAGTAACATTTATACTTCATCTAATTTACTTACCGGTGCACGTCATCCGCGTCGTAGTCTGTAAGGTCACATGATACCAACACGAAATATTTAGGCGGTAGGTGTGTTCTTTTTTAGAATCACTTTGCCGAGTACACTGGCTTTACAGCCACTAGACATATTTTATTATATACGCGTAGAAATAATATTTAAATATTTCTATTAATGTTAACTTAAAGACATACACAATAATATGTTTCATTTAATTTGTATAAATGCTTTATAAAGCGTTTTTATGAAGAACATTTGTTCGGAACACACTGTAACTGTAATCGAACGAAGGTTATTCGCTCCGTGCGTGACTGACGCGACACCTACCGCCTTTAACTGACAATTTTGGAGTCCCAATTTTCAGGTTAAACATATGACATATGTTTGACATTGTTAAATACATGCGACATTGACAATTATTAATAAATTAGTTTTTAAATATATTCTTTCAGTTTATGTACAAAATAAATGTAGTATTAAAAACTGGGTTTCTCAAAATTCATCATAATATATCTTTTCAACTCCAAACGGAAAAGAAAGGGAAAAATCTAGTACTGGCAAATCAAGTTTTTCACGCAAAAGAGCATATAATTAAAAACAGTAATAGTAAAAGTTATGATATAAAAGCTAAAGTCATCTGCAGTTAACTTGAAGCCTTATGAAATATCATTCAAGGTAAATTATTTAAATTTTTCCCATTTCAATTGCATAAAAATGAAATTATGTCATATTTACTTTTTCATATTAATAGCACGAATTTATCTTTTTCTTTTCTCTAATTTATATGTAATCTTTGGGAACCTATAAAAACTACACTCACTGTTTTTGCTATTATTAGCACAATTAAATACGCAACATGTATTTCCACACATTTTTGATAAAATTTATGCGTAAAAATATTTTGTAAAATATTCCAATTTTGTCATATTTCGCCGCTACGCACGCTGGCATCGTTTCGATGTACCCCTACCATGGTCACGCACGGAGCGAATATTTTGGCATAAATTAGTAACACTTATTTGACAGTTGCGCTGTTGACACTTTTTGTACTTTATTATTTTGAATTTTAAAGTGAATACCTCTTGTTTTATATTTTTACCTATTTAATAAAATCTATTCTTTTTAGAACACAATTAGTATGTTTTATTTCAAAAATGTCACGTAAGAATTTAAATAGTCGTTGTAAAGAGATGGTAATACTTTTGCAATAATTATGTGACCTATTTGATTTAAAATGGAGTTAGGATTTTTTTATACTTAGGCAACTATGTCAACTTCGATCTCTTTCAATGATTATGACGTGCAACAGTAAGTAAATTAGATGAAGTATATATAACGAGAAAATTGTAAACGTTTTGTACAAATAATTAGATTTTATAAGTGCCTCTGAAGTGTAGAATACATTCCACTTATATACTAAAATTCATTAAGTAAAATCTGCACTCACCAACTTTTTGGTCGTACTTCACATCCGTTGTAGAGACCTCGGGTTGAGCGACCTTCATACTAGTAGTGACATCTAGTGGCAAAGCAGGTTTACCGAGCCCGATATCCGATACCGCTCTTACTAAAATCGTGTATCGTGTCTCGTAGTGCAAATTTCCCAATACCATACAAACAAAATCATCCGATAGCTCTTTACATTGTTGGTACATACGGCCGGTTTGATCTTTGGTCGATACTGTGACGTTTATCCACTTCTCCACAGGCCAGTTGATATCTGGGGTGTACGAAATGATGTACTTGTCAATCTTGCTGTCGGACACTTTAGGCTTATGCCACTGCAAGTACACAGTGGTTTCGTTTAGAACTTTGTACTTTAGGTCGGTAACGGGAGAAGGAACTAAAAATAAAAATAACTCATCACATTTAAACTAAATGATAGTTATGTTAAATCAAGAAAAAAAAATGGACCTTTTAATTAATTTGATAGAAAAAACGATTAGTGATTAATCCCAATGTATGTTATTGGGCGCTTAACGTTAATTTTTCTATATTTTCCATTTAAAACGTGTTTTGTTTTTAAAAGCCTGTGTCATGAAACGACAAGCAATTACAGTGATGACAACCTTGTCATATGTCCAACTAGGTGTACACCTACATTGGAACCGTATTTCTCCCGATCCGACATTGGGCGACGTCGGATTGAAAACAAATTCAAGGTATTAATGCATAGTGCCTATACTGCAGTGGGAACCCCGATCAGATAACGACCGATATCGGCCGACGTCGCACTGAGTAACTTCTCCTATCAAACTTGTTTGGTTTCATTCCGATTTTTCTTTCCGACGAGAGCAAAATGGCAGAAATGGTCAGAGAAATTTTGATTGATCGGGTTGAGAAATACGGTTCCAATATAGGTGTACCCTAAGATTTTTTTCGGGGTTGATGCATTCTCTGAAGTTAGATTGGCTTAGATTGTATAGTTAGATTTCTATACTCATGCGGTGGTACTCTGAATTTTTCAGGATAGTTACGTAAAGTTTGAAAAGTTTTATTAAATTCTCCTGAAAAGAAAGACAAAAAGATCTGTCTTCACTAAATTTATGTATCCATGTATGTTTTCTTCTTCTTTTAAGAACGTTGTTTTCTAACAACAGCCAACACATTAAATGTTCATCATAACTCATTGTCGGTGGTCGGGCGTTACGAGTATAGGCACTCACGTCGGACGACGTCGGATCAAAAAATCGGACCCGATCGGATCGGGAGAAATACGGTTTCAATATAGGTGTACCCTAAGATAATTCTAGCCAGTGTTGCCATAGTTATACAAAATATATTTTCTTGTGAAAAATAAAAATCAAATATTTAATTACATATTTTAATATTTTAATATATATAATATATTTTAATAAATATACTGAATTGTTACCAGGTTTAGGTTAGGTTAGGTTTAGTCTTTTTCCACAAAAACTTATTATAAAACATCTTTTTATGTTTTTATTAATCTGTTTATTAATGTAAATGATTTTCACAATTTTTTTCAATTCTTTAAAAGTGACAACAATGTGGTATATACAAACAATTTAACTTTGTGCATTTATCCACCATATTGTTTTGGAAGATATCGAGGGTTTCGAGCGAAAACCGATAACTAACAAAATCATTGTTCGGAGATAATCGCGATTAAAGATTTTCGTAACATTGAAGAGGCTTTAAAATCGTCATAGCAAGTTGTTTCAAATATTTGTTAAAGCCAAAGAGTAGAGAATTTAATGTTTAGTTAGAATAATTTATTTTTGGTTTAACTTATTAAAAGGTATTTACAAAAAAAAAATAAAACATGATACTTATCGGGTTTTTCCTCGCTGAATGAGTACAACAATTGATTTTATTGGTTTTTATTTTTAATTTTGTCAATTATAAAATAAAAATAAACTGTATTTTATTCAAATAAAACAAATAATAATCTACATTCTTTTTAGTAAATTTAAAGGTAATATCTTCTTCTTCCGATTCTTTTCCCAACATTATGTCTGGAATTCGATCTACGACATTATTCCCTGTTTTTAAACTTGATATCCAAGCATGCAGCTCTTCCGGAAAAATGTTTTCTTGGCAGATCTTCATTAAATCCTTTTTTTTTGCTTTGCTTATTGGAAGAATACTTTTGTATTCAAAACTATACTAATACTATACTAATTCAAACCAATATCTTCTGATATGTTTAAACACTTTAATTCTTCTGAGAGATTGTAGTTGATAAAAATTTTCCTTGTTTCACCTTTAATATATTTTAGTCTCTTGATTTTTAGCCACTGCACAGTATTACCGTCAGAATCTACTATTCTGTTTTGCAATATATTTGCTGCAAGTGACTTTAAATCTAAAAATTTATTATATTTTATTTCTTTTACCTTGTATGGGCCTATATTATGTTATTGTCTACTGTCTTCATTTTCTGTTTTCTTGCTGTTTGAAATATATTTGTCCAGTCATTCATGCATTTACATGTTTACTTGCAGATTCTATTACCGAGTAAATAGAATCCACTTCCATAATATAAGTATGACCTGCTTCTAAGAACTTTTGTTCTATAATTTCCAATTGGTCGATATTTTGTACGATTCACAACAGCAGTACGGCTATAAATTGATTAGTTCCGATTTCAGAACTACCCTTGTTGCCATTGATTTCATTCCAGCACAAGCAATATGCGTTATTGGGTAGCGGTGATTCCCAAATAGATTCCCAAATAGAATCCCAAAGATTGTATACTACCAATTTTCTACGATAGTCTAATTGACTAATAGATCCTTTGGGTATTTATAAAATTGCTTGTAAATCCAATGTTACAGGCATAAATGTCTTGTCTTTATTTGCTTTGTCTTTATCTATTCGTTTAGCCTCCTGACAAATTTCGTTTCTTTTTCTATATTCTTCGTAGATTATTTCAAGATTTTTTCTCTGCTCTAGATCAGCCTTAGCATATTTGGCACAGATAAGACACTGGTCCTTTTTGGGCGTGAAAAAACTTAGATCAAACTCTTCACAAAAAATAGATCGATATTTACGTAAAGCAACAGTGTCTTGACTATTTTCGATGCAGTTATCTAAGTCAAGCTGGTACATTTTATTGGTACATTGGTAAAAGATTCAATATGACTTTTAACAAGTTGAACATCTTCAGCCTTTGTTTTGTTAACTGGTTCCTGTTTTCCGCGATTGTCTTCTTTAGAATAGTTGGTTGCTATGTCTTTAATGTATTTAATTATTAATGTCACCAAAGACGTAGACGTCTCAGAGTGTAAAATTTTCTTACGTTAAACTTTTTTTTGATTTACGAGATCATTTTCAGATACACCAATATCTTCAGAATCCAAAGATGACTCTGTGCAGTAGTTTGGATCCACGTCAGAATAATCACCTCCAAATAAAGAGTAGTATCGTCAAATTCATCAATTTTGTCGATGGACTTCTCAGCTTCTGAAATAAAAACCAAAATATTATTCTAAAATGAAGTCACCTGTGTTAAAATCATCATCTTCCATTGTATTTTCCATATACTCTGCTACTTGGCATTGATTTTCGTCTAACTCAAAAGAAGTTTCAGATACGTTCTATTGCACATTCTTTGACATACAAGTAGGAATTTAATATTCACCATTAACGCGCATACGAGTAATCTGACGGCTGATGTGGTAATATAACTTCTTTATGGTCTAATGTAAGCGAATGAATCAAAAAACAAAACTTTAAGAAAATATGGAGCTATAGTTGGATTTTAATTTCAGTATTTTATATACCAGAACATTTTCAATGCTAAAAAATTCCACAGGGTGATGCGAACTTTAAGAAAAAAACATACTTTGATTGGTACACCCGGAACAATGAAAATTTACCCGATTAGCAACATTATTGATGACAATTCAAATAACTAGGAACTGTATAATTATACACATAACAAAAAATATTACTTACCAGTCTTCGATAAGGGTTTTTGGTGACCTTTTCCACTAACATCTTACTTCGATTACTCATTTTACTAATTTATAAAAATCTAACTGTTTATTTCGAAAACAAGCACGCATCACAATCACAATTCAACATCAAACTAAACACTTGTTAGAGAACGCAACGTCCGTAATCAAGTCCAGATATGAGTAAACTAATAAGAACTACCGGCCCAAAAAGGTAAATCGTTGTACTTCGTGTAACCTAAAATTGATTTACTGGGTTTTCGCAGAACAAAAATGTGCTGAAATTGAATAAAGTATGATAGTATAAAATTCTTTATTGGATTTTCGCATGAATATATTTTGTTAAAATTAACAGCTTTGTAATCTTCATATCCGATAAATGTATTTATATATTTTTAAAAATCTTAACTTGCGAATTTCTTTAAAAAGAAAGCAGTTAAGTTGTTCTAGCTTATTTTTCCTAGAACTGATTTTATATTTCAGACATTTATTATGAATTTCAATTTCCAATAAAATGAATTATCTGTTTTTAACTCAGAAATATTTCTAATAAAATTAGTAACTTTACACAGGAAAAGAAGATAAATGATTCTATGGGATTCTCATATCATAAATATGTGTACTTCAAAATATTTTTATCAGTAAAGTTATATATCGGGTTGGTGTTATTTAAAAATATGACTTAAGGGTTTTTACCATGTTTGGTTTTTATCAATTATTATGCTTAAAAATGTTAATATCAATTTAAAAAATTTTTCAGTGATAGAAGACGTGTTTTTAATACAGAAGAAATAAAAATACCGTATTTCATAATTTTGTCATTTATCGGGTTTTCGCTCGAACCCCTCGATATATGCATTTTGTCAGTTTTAAAATAATAGTATTTTAATAGCAGAAATCAATGATATTTATTCATTTTTTTTCGTTTGTTATGATTAAGACAATTGAATATTTTTGTTGGCCTTTCAGCTATATTTATTAGATATTATGCTACTTTTTAAAAAAATTTTTGGCATTTTCTACCTTGCAATAAAGACAACATTCAAATTTGAGCTTTTCTTTATATTGTTTTTAAACTAACTACACAAAAATTGCAATTTTCACTCTGCCGTTAGTCAGAGAAGAAAAAATTCGTACTCACCATCAGCCCATGTCTTAACACGAACGGGGTCAGAAAAAATTCCCGCTACCCCGTCAGCATTATGAGCTCTTACCCTGAACTCATAAATAGTATTAGGTTTAAGTTTTCTTACTTGCAGCTTGTTAGGAAAACTAAAAGAGAACAAAAGTATAATAGTACATTGTAAAAAAAGTATTTATAGTGGCATGCAAGTGAAAATATGATGGTTAGGAATATGTTTTGTATTCCAAAAGCCATCGCACATAGACATAATACATAATAAAATCTTTTATCCATATGGGTAAAGAATTGCATTGGTTATATCATATTATATAATTGAATTCTTTTCCTGATAAAAAATTCAGTTTTTGTAGATCTTCAACGGGTGGCGTCAGTTATTAACACATTTTATTAAATTAATTTCAATTAAAATATTTACTACTATCAAACCAGTTAACAGACATGCATCGATGTTTATTTCTCGCATTTTGACTCCCAATTTATAAGAACCGTGCAAAGGGCACTCGAAAAAAACTGCAAATTTCCTTCTCTGATTGCATTGTTAAACATTTCATCTACATTGTTAAATTGTTTTGAGATACATTGGCAAATATAGCCAATGAAGGAAGAAGTAAAAAACCAATCAAGGAAGAAAATTTCCAATTCGATCAATCACATTTATATGCTTGGATTCATTATTTGGAGTGATCTTTGCACGATTATTATAAACTAGAAGTGAAAATATGGCAAAACAGCCGTGAAGATCAAGAAATTATTTAAAATCGAAAACAAAATATTCGGAAAGGGTTCCGTAGGCAGTTAGGTTAGGTTAGGTATATATGCTAAACAAAGTTTTGGAAGTACAAACGATGATAAGACTGCGCCAAGTTTCTTTAAAAATTCGAAAATTTATGCTACAAAAACGGGAATAAGTAAAAATTTATTGAAACGGTTTCAACACGTTTTTTGTGACTTGTCGTACACTCGGACTCACTAATATCTAAATTAAATACCTAAATTACCTATTCGAAAATTCAAACCTTTGGGTCTTCCAGCAATTCAAGTCATAAAGGAAAATAAATAATTTGCAAATTTAATTTCCAATATGCCAAAGCAGTACTAAGGAAGGGGGCGAACAATCTGATTCAGATTTTAAGTACAATTGGCACCCATTGATCTAGGTGGTTGCTTTATTGGTGTACATTGGTACACATGGCGCCCAACGTGGGGATTGAAGGGCTCAATACATTGTAGAAGATTCGTTCTCTAGAAGGTGATGGCAATTGTTTTATATCCAAACAGAAATAATAGTCACCAGCGTTGACAGAGTCATACAAAATACGTTTTAGCATGAAAAACAAAAATTAAAAGATTTTTAATGATTCATTGTTGCATATTTGTACTACAAAATTACTGCTTTGTTGTTATAAAATTTGGTATTTTAGCGTATGTAGAAAATTTACTTAGTAGGTCTTATAAAATAAGTCGGGTAATCGTGAGATTTGGTTAGGTTAGGTTTTTTTTATACATTATATACATACTATCACTATTTTCCTTAGTCACCCTATAACTTCAGAAAGACTTTACTGATTTCATTCGTCTTTGTATTAATACTTTATAGAAGGTTCTTACGGAAAGACAATTTAAGAAAATTCTGCACAAAATTGAAAATTTTCAGAAAATTTAACGATTATTTAAATTTCGCGCGTTTAATTTCACGTTTGATAGTTGACACAATGCAAATGTCGTCTAACAGCAACATTTTGAGTCAAATTTATTGAATTTTTAATACACTTAATTGGACCGTTTACTCAGTTTTTAGTTTGTTCAGTGAATGTTTTGAGAAGGGGTTTTTTAAAAATGTAGTTAACAATGGTAGCAGATATTATTACACAAGGACGAATAAATCTAGTATGATCAGGTTTTTATATATTAGTACAAGAATTTGCATCAATATGTATCATATTCCGCACTTTAAAATTATTATTACCTTTTCAACAGCCTCTTTTGTTCACATTCACTGCTTTCTCCGTCCGCTATATAACAAATCATATAAAACTTTGTACTTTTATCCGCGTTGTTCCATCTAAGTTTGACAGAAAACGGCGACTGGGCAATGGCCCTAATTTGCGACGGAGGTAAAGGTGCCAGTTCACTGGTTGTGTTTGTTTCCAATCCATTGACGTTTGTACTATTTGTTGGATCTGGAATTATGTATGGTGTCCACGGGCTAGTTTCCTTGTCGTCTTTGTTCGTGGAAACTACGCGGAAATTGTACTCTACACCAGGAATTAGGTCTAAAACAGAGTTTAATAATGTATCAATATAAGGAGGATTTAATTAAAAGGAAATATTTTATCTGGTTTTCAAATAATATATTTTATTGATTGTGTATCTATATAAAATCAAACAGAGAGCTTCTAGATATTCCTTCAAGATTTTGTCAGAATTTAAATTAAATTTAATAATGGAGACAGAACACATTCCTGTCTCACACTACGTTCTATTCCGCATTACGTCTTTGTATTGTCAATTTTTATATTTGTCTTCTGTCTATAGATAAAACTACCTGAACTGGATGAAAAATAAAACAATTCAGATACATTTGCAGATTTTTAAAAGCAAATCTTTACTTTTCTGTCCAATAAAGAAGATATATATCACGTTTAAAAAGTACTGATCTAAATGCAGCTCCTTGCTACTGTAGCTACCTAATATATCCATTCACGTTTAATATTTGTTTATTTACGTTAGAACAATTAACTTACCCTTAACAATATAATACTTCTTTCTCGTTTGTCCACTATGGGGAGACCAGGATAGATCGCTTTTCCACTGGACTTTGTAAACAAATTTTTCGCCGGTGCAAGAAACATCAGTACTAATTTCAGTCCATTTCAGAAGTACAGAACTGTTATCTTTGTTGTCTTTGTATTGTTCAATGTCCAAATTTCTGTTTCCCATGGTACCTAGAAGAGAAAAAATATTTTTTTATTTATTTGAAAAAATTGTAACTTTTATTTGTTTGGATACATACGGAAATATAAAATTACATTTATTTTATATAAAACAAACTTTTAGTCAAACATTATAGACAAATATTAACATTAATTATATAGTTTATTGACTCTCGCGTCATAAACAGAAAATCTTGAAGATGAATTCATATCATTGTTAGGGACATTCATCTTTTTAAAATTTTTAAAAGTGAAACTGGAACAAACCATGAAGTGGAGATATCCAGGAGTGGCTAGTATACCTGTTGAATACAAAGCACGTGGTGTTCGTGTGTATTAAGGTATAAAAAAAGTGCTTATTAAAAGCTTAAAATTTTTTATTATAAAGAAGATCTTTTCGGAATTGTATCATTCTATCATCAGTTTAATAAAAAAGGTTGTTAAAAAACATTGTGTGGCCACATAAAAAAACATTCCATTGGACATCTGGATTTAAAAAATAATAATCTTGTTATTTATTCAGGTAAATGCAATAGACTCTTGACTTGTGTAATATAAAAATGAAACTGGGGGCATCTTATATGACCTCCTGTAGTTGGTGAGTTTTTATTGACTTACATTACCTCTGATCTGTGTTGGAGTCTAGGGCTAACTCAGCCCTAGACTCCAACACAGATCAGAGGTAATGTAAGTCAATAAAAACTCACCAACTACAGGGGGTCATATAAGATGTCATACAACCTTCCGCTGTACTTAGCATTCGTAGATTATGAAAAGGCTTTCGACAGCATTGAACACTGGGCGGTTAAAGAAGCTCTGGTCAATAGTAGAATAGATTCAAGATACCGACAATTGAAACATGATATTTACCAAAACGCAACCATGACCGTAATTCTGGACGACAAATTAATAACGGATAATATAAAAGTTAAACGAGGAGTCCGACAAGGCGATATAATTTCACCTAAACTGTTTACCTTGACCCTTGAAGACATAATAAAATCAACAGATTGGGAAAACAGAGGAATATATATTAACGGAAAATACCTAAATCACCTTAGATATGCGGATGATATACTCCTGATCTCTTCGGAACGACAAGAACTGGAATTAATGCTGAATGAACTTCATGAAAAATCACTGCAAAAAGGCCTAAAAATTAACTTCAACAAAACAAAAGTAATGACAAACACGGAAGACCAAGAGACAATAAAAATACAAACAGAAAAAATAGAACAGGTAAATGAGTATATCTATCTAGGACAAGCAATCAGAGCTAACAGAGAAAATCAAACAGCCGAAATATCGAGACGAGTAAGAATGGGATGGGCAGCGTTCGGCAAACTTTCTTACGTTCTAAAAAATCAAACAATCCCTCTATACTTACGAAGCAAGGTATATAACTCCTGTATAATACCGGTGCTCACCTACGGAGCACAGACATGGACATTTACACAGGCAAATTGGGATAGGATAAGGAAGGCACAAAGAGCGATGGAGAGACAAATGTTGGGTATATCACTTAAAGATAGAAAACGTGATCAGTGGATCAGAACCAGAACAAAGACAGTAGACGCGATAGAACTAGCAGCAAAACTGAAATGGAAATGGGCTGGACAGAATGAGCGTCTCCAAGACGGACGATGGAACAATGCCATCGGAAAGTGGCGTCCATACACTGCAAAGAGCTCAAGAGGCAGACCACAGATGAGGTGGAAAGACGACATCAGGAAACAAGAAGGTCCCACATGGCAGAGAATAGCTCAAGATAGGGAAAGATGGAGAGAACTGGGGGAGACCTATATCCAACAATGGAAGGATAGAGAATAGGTTAAAAAAAAGCACAATATAACATAGGACATCAGAATAAATCAACTAAGATGGTATGGGTACGTCCAAAGAATGGATGAACACAGAATACCAAAGAAAGTATTGAACTGCATGGAACAAGAAAGCAAGGTAGATTAAGTTGCAGAGAAGGAATCGATAAATACTTAAGGAAGAAGGGACACTATTATGTAAGATTCCTTGTTCCCGACAAGGGAGAAGCGCATGTATACTTCACAGAAATAGTTTGTTGAAATGTACAGAAGCATACCAGAAAGTTTTTTAAATCAGAACATTAACGATTTTAATAGATAGATGATTTTGCATCTCTTAAATCTTGACGATGCTGGAAGGGGGAATGTGACAAATACAATAAATAGAAATTTCACTAACTATACTTTTAATCGCTTAAGGTACGTTAAATTAGATATAGGCATAATAATAACCCAACCCAAAGTAAACCCAATTTACTCACCGGTCTTGCAGGTGACTTTTTCAGATGGATCACTGCCACCTGGGGCGTATAATATGACGTAGAAAGTATATTCTGTACTGCTATTTAGGCCAGCAGCTTCCATGGAAGTGACGTTTCTTGCATAGTCAGGTCCAACAGATTCCAAACCGTTATCTAAAATAAAAAGAAGAAATCATGATTATTGTTAATAAGTAACGAACTTATTGTAGGGATTGTGTAAAAAAAATAATATTTCTTTTAAGATAACAGAGATTTTGTCTCTAACACTTGATTGAATTGTATTCTGTTCTTGTCGAATCACAAGAAGTAAATGTTACTTACTATTGTAGAAAGAATGCACGCTGTAAGCTGTCACACTAACGTTTATGGGTGACTTCCAACTTAGACAGATGGTGGACGAGTTGTATGGTCGGCATTTTAACTTCTGCGGGGGACTGGGCGTTTGCGAAACATTTATAATATCTATTTGAACAGCTGTCCAAACTCTTCCAACAGAATTGGAGGCGATGCATTGATACATTCCTAAAATTTATTATTGTTAAAAATAAGGGATGTTAAATATTTGAGAAAATATTTTAAGTTCCCCCAACTATTTTTTTAACTAGAAAACTAAAACCACTAGGTAATTGAACAACAGCTATATGAATTTTTAGTGACGTAATTATTTTGTAAGATAATTTCAAATGAGATTATATGACAAGTAATCAATAATTTGAAATATCTTGTGTCTTACAGTTAATTGTCACAAATTGTTGCTAATAAGTGCTTAGTTCCATCAAAATTAAAAAGACATTTGCAAAGTAATCATTCTGCTTTAGCCGATAAGGCCGAAGAAACCTTCATGCTTAATCTCTTCATGCAGGGTCAAGCATGACGGAAAGAGTCTGCAAAAATGAAAACGAAAACGCCACTGAAGCATCATTTATTGTTGGTTTGCACATTGCAAAAGCTGGAAAAGCCCATACCATTGCCGAGGAACTGATTAAACCTTGCGTGAAGGATGTCGTATAATGCATGTTAGGTCCAGATATGACCAAGAAGATTGATAATGTGCAGATGTCAAACAGCACTATAAGCAAGATAATTCACACTATTTCAGACTTTGTAGAGGGAGAGAGCTTATAAATAGATTAAAAACTTGTGAATTCTTCAGTTTACAGCTTGATGAAAGTACCGATGTTGCTGGACTTGCTGTTCTGCTTGTGTTTGTGAGGTTTCCTTATGAAGAACTCCTTATGTGTGAAGAGCGTAAAAGTTATGCAACTGGAGAAGAAATTGTCAAGCCTATCCAAGAGTATATACGAAACAATGATACAGAGTGGGGTAAGTGTGTTGATATTTGCAGTGATGGAGAGGCTGCAATGGTTGGTAAAATTAGAGGGGCGGTGTCTAGAATAAAGGTAGTGGCAGAAAATTGTCTCCAGCAGCCATTGTATCTTACATCGCCATTCTTTGGCAACTAAAAAGATGCCGCAAGATTTGAAAGACGTATTGGATGGTTCTGTGAAAATAATTAACCATGTGAAAGGCCGTCCGCTTCAAGCACGCATTTTAAAGTTCACCGCTGAAGATATGGGCATGGATTACTTTAATCTTTTGCTCCACACAGATAACATGTGGCTATCGAGGGGAACAATTTTAGGGAGACTATTTTAACTAAAAGATCCACTGATTATCACATTTACAGAGAGTCTTTAATTCAAGAATTAAAAGATGTCAATTGGCTGCTAAAATTGGGATACCTTTCAGACATCTTCGAAATAATAAATAAAACCATTACTTCGCTTCAAGGCAAAGGAGGAGCACAAATAGATAACATTAAAGCTTTGCGTAAAAAAGTTACATTTTTTAAAGCATGTGTTGAAAAGAGGAACCTCACAAATTTCTTTTGATTACAGGAATCTGTTATAACAAATGAAATCAATCCTCAAACGAACTCCTTTCAAATTGTTATTGCTCATTTGCAAGGTTTGGAAGAAAGTGTTGTAAACTATTTTCCTGACATTGATTCAGATGACTTATATAGCTGGATGATGGTACCGTTTTCGTGCGACCCAAAATAAAAACCTGTCGGAATGATAAATGAAGTTTGCCAAAATCTACTTGAGATCAGCGAAGATAGCAGTTTAAAACTCAGGTACCGGGAAGGAAGCCAAGAAGAGTTCAGGATGCAGGTATATTCAGAAAATAATGTTGTTAGCAAGGTTGCAGCGAAAAAACTTATGTGTTTCACATCGACTTATCTCTCTGAGTCTTCTTTCTCCGCATATCTTCTTCTTCTTTTGGCATCATAACCCTGGATGGGTCTTTGCCTGTCTGGCTATGTCCTTCCATTCAGATCTCTCTTGTGCCCTTCTTCTCCATTGTCTTATGTTCATTGTTTTCAGGTCGTCTTTCACGTCATCCAACCATCTCGTTCTGGGCCTTCCTTTTTTTCGCCTTCCTATGGGCTTCCATTGTAACATTTTCTTTGTTGTTTTTGCATCGTTTTGTCTCTGCACATGTCACAGCCATGACAGTCTTTAATTTTTCACAAATCTTACAATGTCATAACCTTCATTTAACTCATTAACCTCGTCGTTTCTCCTGATTCTCCATGTGCCATCTTCCTCTTGTACCGGGCCATATACTGTCCTCAGTATTTTTCTCTCGAATGACCTGAGTTGGGCTTCATCTTTTTTCGTCATTACTTAAGTTTCACATCCATAGGTTACTACGGGTCTAATCAGTGTTCTGTAGATAGTCATTTTGGTTCTTTTGTCTAGTAATTTCGATGTCATCAATCTTTTATTAGCATAGTATGTAAGATTCCCGCTGGAAATACGTACATTAATTTCGCTACTTTCGGAGTTCCTCTGATTGATTTCTGTGCCGAGATAAGTAAAGGCATCCACTCGTTCGATAGTATAGTTGTCTATTGTGATATTATTTTCATTGTCAGTTATTCTTTTGACTGTCATATACTTCGTTTTTGCTTCGTTTATTTTGAGACCTCTTTTTCTTGCTTCAGGATCAATTTGTTTGAACACTTCCATTAGTCGTGGCTTATTCCTACTAATGATGGCTACATCGTCTGCATATGCAGTAATTTGTACTGATTTGGTGTTTATATGGCCGGTTATATTGATTTTTCTGATGACTGCCTCAAGAACTAGGTTGAATAGCATGGTTGATAGGGCATCTCCCTGTCTTACTCCCATGTTGATGTTAAACAGGGGAGTCAGTTCTCCTTTTACTCTGACTGCGGCTTTTGAACCCTGCAACGTCATTTTTATGAGGCTGATGAATTTCTTAGGTATACCTAGATTAGAAAGGTCTTCCAGCATTCTGTCTCTTTTCACACGATCAAAAGCTTGTTTAAAGTATATATACATATTATATAGGTCTATGTCGTATTCATAAGCTTTTTCTTGTATCGTTCTTAGTATGAATATGTTATCTATAGTGGCTCTATTTGGTCTGAATCCATTTTGACAATCACCAATTATATTTTCGGAGTATTTTAATAATCTATTGTAGATTATACCAGAAAGAATTTTGTATATTACATTTAGCAATGTAATTGGCCTATAATTCTGGCAGTCCCTCTTATCTCCTTTTTTATATATTGGCTGTATGAGGCCAACTGTCCATTCCTCTGGCATTTGCTCCTTCGTCCACATTAATGTTATTAGGTAATGGATTCTTTCCCAGAGTTCGGATCCTCCATGCTTTAATAATTCTGCCGAAATTCCGTCCGTTCCTGGTGCTTTATTGTTTTTTAGTTTATTTATTATCTGAACTACTTCTTCTTAACTCGGATTTTCGATGTGCAGCTCCGCCGTATAATATATTGTCTCGTTCTGATCATTTTCGTTGTCTGCATTTAGATTTTCTTCGAAATATTGTTTCCATCTCATTATAATTTTTTGCTTCTCTGTTAGTAGTTCTCCGTCCTTGTCTTTGCATATCGTTAGTTTTGGTCTAAATGACTGTGTGCTTTCTTTTATGCATTTATAGAATTTTCTGCTTTCGCGTCTGTTGTTATGCTTTACTTTTTCTTGTACTTGTTTTTTCATAGCCTCTCTTTTCTTTCTTCTGCATATTCTAGTCATTTGTATTCTTTTTCGTTATAAATCTCACTGCTATTTCTTGTGTTTCTTTGAAGTTGGTTAAGCCTAGCTTGCCTTTTTTCCTCTACTGCAGTTCTGTATTCATCATCATACCATTCCGCATTTCTTTGCCTTTTGGCTTTTCCGACAGTTTCCTCTGCTGACTCCGTTATAATTGTTTTTAATTGTCTCCATTCCTCCTCTGCAGTATCTTCCTCTCTAGTTCGGTTGAGTTTTATTTGGAGAGCATTTCTGTAATCTTGTCTCTTTGTTGCGCTTTTGAATCCTTCGACATTCCATTTTTTGGTTTGAATATTTTTCCCTTTTGCTACTGTCGCTATTTTCTGCCGTAATTTTGCCCCTACAAGATAGTGATCTGAGTCAGAGTTCGCCCCGCGATACGTTCTGACATTAGTTATGTCTGTTGCCCATCTTTTTGAGATGAGTATATGGTCAATTTGCTTTCTCCGCATATACTTACATTAAAAACAAATACAGAAGCAAACTTCAAGCATCAAGGGATTTGAGGGTCAAACTTAAAGATTCCCATAATTATAAAGAATATAATGAAAACATCATCAAAATAGTTTCATTCATCACATTAAATAAGGATATTTGAATATGTTATATGAATATACAGTATTTTATTGATCTGAAATAAAGTTTATATTCATATCAAATGAGACTCAGTGAGCCTCGAAATATTTTGAGTCCTACAAGGGTGCCGCGACTAAAAAAGTTTGAGAACCACTGATTTAGATATCGATAGAACTATCAGGATTATGGCTATATTTAGTCTTAAGAAGTTAGCATGTAGTCTGTAGACATATTTAAGAAGCAATTGTACATGTCAATAAACAAATAAAATAAAAACAAACCGCGTTTGTTTGATTTAAAGTTACAATATCTTACCTGAGTCGTTTCTAAAAGTATGACTAAAAATAATCCCGTTGGACTGCCTTCTCACTCTAGAATCGAATTTTAAAGGCTGTCCGTCTTTCAACCATTTAATACTAGGTTCAGGTATGCCAGTGGCGCGACATTCTAATCTAGCAGTAATAGCAGCAGGGTAGGACTTCGACAACGGTGTAACAATGAACGTAGGCTTTTGTTTGACTACCACGTTAAAAGTGTGACTCGTACGGCCCATGCTGTTGTATGCTATACACGTATAGCTGCCTGTATGGTTGGTATTTACATCAGTTATTTCCAAAGCTGACGTGTTACCTAGGACTATACTGTCTTCTGGAAAATAGAAATAATTCGTTAAAAACTTAGATCAGATGATAAACCAGAAGAGAATTTGGCGATAATGGAAAGTTTTGATCAAAATGAATTTTCTGAATTCTCATTTATATTTTAATAGAACGTGACTCGATTTTAACGCATTGGGATTCTAGAACATAAGATGTTCTACTAAAATGCTTTTGTTTTGTCACACCCAAAATACTATATGCAGATTTATTTTGATATTATGAAAAATGCAAAATAAAAAGTTTTAAAAGGCGCACAAAATGGTACACTATGTATAAGCCATAGTATCGTGTTTGCCACTTAGTATCGTCTATAAAAATAGATAAACACGTATTTACGCAAAATAGTTATTTTTATTAAATTAAATCAAAACAATGTCAGTTTAACCGTTCACAATGGTCAGCATTAAATACACTAAATTATCAATTTTCCCTTCCGCCGTGTTTATCTGTCATCAACGAACTACTCGTGACCATATAAGGTAATTACCCGATCGCCGTATTAGGAATTCCATCTTAAGCTGATTGGGACATTAGGAAGTTACTGACTTAAGCTAATCAGCGTATTAGGATAATAGTGTGACTGCATTAGTAACAAATAGACTTTGGTCTAATTGGTTTTTTCACGGGAGGTAACAACTAAAAATTGATTGATTTCTTCTATCTTAATATATTCGTTATTCCCCCCTTTCATTTGCTATGTCTCATGTTAGGATTCGATCAGTATATTGATACTGTCATGTGATATCTCGTAAGTCACTATACGTTCATTAATAACAAAGATAAGGTGTAGTGCCCTTTTGGTAGTCGCCTTGGTTGTGTTTTCAATGTTTCTCTTCTCTCATTTCATTTAACGTATCATACGCTCCAATCAGACCAATAACAACGGAGATATATAATGCTGGCGCTGGTGTTTTCATTACGGTTTTTCATTCAACATATTTCTTAGGAATAATAACTCTTATATTTACTTGCACTTTATAATAGTTTTGTAGTATAGTAGTATAGTATAGTAATAGTGTAGTATGTAATAGTAGACTATGTTTTGAAGAATAGAATCATCAAAATTATGTAAAAAGTAAAAAATGATAAGAATATATACACGGTGTCCTCGAAAGTACTGCGTTCCTTTAAAATATGACATATGTCGTATACAAGTATGAAATCCAGGAATTTTTGCAAAAGCCTAGTCATTTTCGTAATGACTTGGCAGTTTGTATAACGTTTTCATTTTTACGAAATGACTTCACCCTTTAGGCATTTGCGAAACTACCGGAAACGGTAAGTCTATTTTGAAACAGTGTTGCAATTAATTGCAAACAGATCATATAATATAAAAAAAAAATTGTACTAATCTAATTCTCTAACCCTAGTTTTTCAATTTAAATGATTACAGATTACAGCAGTGTTTAGAAAAAAATACATTTACATTCTATGTAAGTGTACTATTAGGTCACATTTGTACTATTACAGATATTAGACATGGCTGGGTAATCGGGAAAAATTCTATGAACAATTACATAAATTTTACGATTTTTTTAAAGGTATTTACATCTGCAACAAATAAAAAAATTTCAATCAAGCATTACTACTACTACCTATTTTCCTACAAAGAGTTTCAATATAATCCCTACAAATCTAGAAGAATTTAGAAGTTACATCAACTTACTAGAGTAAAATTTATGTATTTAAGTATTTATTTAGGTATTTAACATAGTCCAACCCTATTTATTATTCAAGGTTGTTGACATCTGAGAAAATGTATGTAATATTTGCAAAATAATTATTTCTTGCTTTAATAATGTGGCATTTGCTAGTATTTAAATTAATTGAGGTTTTTTATATTAAAGTAAATTAAATTATTATTAAATAAATTATTATTTTTACTTAAGTAAGTAAATACTATGGTTTAAAATAAAAATGTGGTGTCAAATGATATTTTTGCATACTTCTATTATATATAAAAAGAAAATATTCCTCATTTATTATGTACCACAAGCATTATGCTTAGAAATCTGAACTCTAATATTGCAGGCAATAATAATAAGCTGCTCAAGTAGATATTGACTGTATTTAAATAATTTTTATGGCAAGGCATGTGTAGGGTTTAATTTTATTTTTATGCATAATGCGTCGCACAAAGCCTTTACCGTTATATCTATACTATGGATGACAATATTTGAATTAGGATTTCCTTTATTGAAGAAAGATCCAAAAATTTCAGATTAAAAAATATTAATTTTTGATATACTTACTTTTAAGCCATTGTACTGTAGGTATAGGCCATCCCATCACAGCACAATATAAGGTGAGTTTCTCACCACTAAGGACAGTAACATTCGGTGAAATGTCAAGAGGTAGAATCGAAGGTATTGTTGCTTCAGTTAATTCCGGCAACACCGTTATATATGCTATTTTACTATATTTAGTTTTATTAAGTAAATCATTTGTTGCTTTACACCTAAAAAATAAAAAAGGTTTAGTTATTTTGATGACATGTCAAAAAAAAAAACAACTACTGCAGCGTTGGAAGTCCTGCTGGATCTACCACGACTGCATATCTTTATACAGGGCGAGGTCAGATTAGTTATTCACAGATTCATCCATATTCAGCGACATATAAGCCAGATGCGTAGTGCTGACAACAGAAAGCTAATCGAGGAGCTAAAAGCCGATATTGTGATGGGGCAACCTATCGATGCAACAGCTATGAGATATAGCTTTACAATAAGTTCACAATTAAGATACCAGACAGGGAAGACTGGAATAAATACCCATACAAGCTGCTACTATCTGGTACACAGATGGCTCAAAAACATCGGAGGGTGTAGGAGCCGGCATAGTGGGAACAAATCAAGGGATACATTTCCCGGTAAGTCTATCTAAGGAAGTGACAGTTTTCTAGGCGCAAATAATGGCAATCCAACACTGCGTGGAAGAAATAGAAAGGCAGGAAAGAACGTTCTGTTCAGTTGCCTTCTTCACAGATAGTCAGGCAGCGCTTAAGCCACTTAATTCTGTAGAGGTAAATTCTAAGCTAGTATGGATTGTGTGTGTGTGCCCTAAATAAACTAGGAGACCGTAGAGGGGTTACGGTAGCCTGGGTACCGGGTCACGAGGGTCATAAGGGCAATGAAAAGCAGATGAAATGGCGAAACAAGACTCACTAATGCCATTCATTGGACCAGAACCCCTCTGCGGCGTTGCAAAGATAGTCACAGGAATGGCTACAAGGAAGTGGGTAGCTCATAAATCTCTGGAATGGTGAAGGAATTCACCAGGACAAAGACAGGCGAAACAGTTCATTACAGAACATTAGCCAAAATTTACGGCAGACCTAATAAGAAAAGAAAGAAAAACAGTCAAAGCCATAGTAGGTCTTCTAACGGGGCACTGTAAGCTGAATAGGCACTTGAAGCTGATGGGATTATCAGTTGATGACATATGCAGATTCTGTCACCTCGAAGAAGAAACAGCTGAACACATTTTACGTCAGTGTGGCAAATGTGCAGTTCTTTGCATTAGGAGCAGAAAATCCACCGGCAAATAGCTACATGGAAGATACAGTCTCGAAGCTATTACACTTTTTAAAAAGGGTCAGTCTAGAAAATGTTATCTAGGACGAGAGGACCACAATAGGTCCTGAAAAGATCGCAGTGGAATACGCTAAAAGGTTACCTCTCTAAATCTATCTATATAACATGTCAACATTTTAGTGATTTTGCTACCAAATTGATCAAATATTTATGCAATAATAAATTAAATAACATTGATGATTATATAGTATTCAGTCGTTAAGCGTCGTAAAGTTTGAGATCTTTATGGTATATAGGTTATATAGACTATTTGATCTTTCTACACCTTCACCTGTACACCTTTCTACACCTTTACATGTAATGAGACATCCAGAGAGGTATAACCTTCTACACCTAGGATAAGATCGACGGAAGGAGAGGCCCAGGCCGACGAAGAACATCCTAGCTACGAAATCTCCGAGAATGGTATCAACAAACCACCTTTAATTTATTTAGAGCCGCCGTGAATAAGGTTATTATTGCCAATATGATCGCCAACGTTCGATAATCGGACAGGGCACTGAAAGAAGAAGACACCTTCACCTCAGTACTTCTGGACAAATTTATAGGGCGAATTCCTTATCTTTAATGGCGTAAAAATAAAGCCATAGGCGAAGAAGCTAAGCTATTTGCAGAATAATGATATGTCCTTGCATAATTGTTGCTATTTTTTTAATTTTTGCGGAAACGACAGTTCTCACAGTCTGACTTGCCATGTTATTGGGATGATACCACCTAAGCTGTGTCATGTAACCAGTTGAATATCTTAGTATAGTTTTATAAGCAAGTGCAAATAAAGTGTTTACAAAATAGTTGCTTTAAAATAATTAATAACAAAGCATTAGGATATTAAAAATAATTGTTTACCTATAAGCTCCACTATGAGAACTCAGAGACTTTTGTATTAACAGAACCCCATTGGGCAAAGGAACATAGCTGAAACATAAAGACATTTAATGTTAATCTAAAATATATCACTATATTTTATAATCAAAATAATTAGTTATACTGTGATGTGATGAGAGCAATTATTGAGATTTTTATATGTATTAGAAAGATTAATTATTATTATCATTAATTAATAAAAACAAATAATATTATTTGATATTTAACTATATCAATATTGTGTATGTTATACAAATATCGAATAGCTGTTTAATTGTTTTGTAAGGTAAACTCGAAATGTGAAGAATCCTAATTCTGGAAGCACGAGGTGTTGAGCTAGCAACTCGTGTGTGATTGCAAGACTACGCTTTTATATTTGATTAAAGAACTAGAATAAATTGGACGCCAACATCTGTCTTAATTCTTCTTTAGTTACTTTATATTGAATAGATCCTTCCTCCGGCAACTTTACATGGCGATCCTGCCAAAACAAGTAAACGTTACAAGTAAACAAGTAGTCGATATTCTTCTGTCCATTCGGTTCTCTTTTAAAGTTGTCTATTCTTGTGCATTCATACCTTCTCCTAAATTTATAGATGATGATGTCTAATTTGCTTGTGTGATATTGCCAATTCAGCCAATATATTGTAGATTTTGTTCCTTTTGACTGAGTCGTATGCCTGTTTGAAGTCTATAAACACGTTATGAACATCAATGTCATGTTTCCATGATTTACTCAAGATCTGTTTCGACTGTAAATATTTGATCCATTGTCGATCTTCCAAGTCGGAAGCTCTTCTGATACTCTCCAATAATATTTTCTGCTAGTGGTTGGAGCCGCTGGTTTAAAATATATGTGAGGACTTTATACGATGTAGTACAGAAATTCCACGATAGTTTTTGCACTGGAGTTTGTTTCCTTTTTTATAGATCGGACATACTATACTTTTCTTCCAGCCGTCGGGTATTTTCTCTTCTTGCCATATGTCTTTGATGAGCACGCGGATGTGACTTGCTAGGTGGTCGCCACCTACCTTACACAATTCTGCTGGTATTTCGTCAACTCCCGGGGCTTTATTGTTTTTCTGGGCCTTAATAGCTTCAACAACTTCTTTTATGGTTGGAGCTTCTACTCCATTCTTTTCTACGTAGTTCGTACCCAATTCATCTGTCATGCTTCCAGTTTTCTGTAATTTTCTATTGGTCACTGACCATGGTCACTGATTATTTGCCCAATTTCATCTTTACATAGACTTGTTTGAGATTTATACCCATTTTTATCTTTTTTAGGTATACGTAAGCCCCTTTAATTTTATTGTTTTTGAAATGTTCTTCCATTTTTTCTATTTGTCCATTTTCATAGGCTCTTTTTTTTCTACATATCTTGTCTGCTTTCCGTCTTGAGACTTCAAATGATGTTCGTTTTTCCCGTGTTCTTCTTGTTATATACATTTTGTGTGCTTCATTTCTTTCCTCTATTGCTTGTCTGCACTCGTCATCGACACCATGCTCATCTTCTCGTCTTTTTCTTGTTTCCCAGAATGGATGCTACCGCTGTCAGTACTGCTGTTTTGATATTATTCCAGTTGTCCTCTATGGAGTGCAGTTTTAGCGTCATTAACTCATTTGCGACTTCTTCTTCCAACTTCTCTTTACATTCCGGAATCTTCAGCTTTTCCAGATCCACATATCCTACGTTACCCTAAATATTTTTATATTCAGTAAAAAAAAAATAATTACTATAACAATACTAACCTTTGTTGGTGAGGTAGTATAAGATCATTATTAAACTCCCATTGAATATCAACGGGAGGTGTAGAGTGAATACCACAACGGAGTATTATGGGTTGAGAGAGGTAAACAGTAGAGTTCACGGGATTGATCGAAAACTCTTTTTCCATAGCTAAAAAGAACGAGAGCAATATTAAAAAAGATAGAGTAATGTATAGAACCATCGCCAAAAATCGTAATTAGGGTAGACTATAGAATCACATTTATACGGCTTTTTGGTAGTTTAGTCACCACTCTGAATGACGTAACATGTGGATTGAGATTGTCAATATAGTTTGTTTATAATCTTATATTTTTATACCTCCTATCTTAGTTATAAACCAAATATTTTTTAAGATTAAATTAAAATAATGGTTTTCAACACAGAAGAAAAAATAAAACTTTTCGAAAATGACTTCCATACAAGCGTAAAGTGAATGGCCACTGGCAGTATTCTGCTTGCTCTAATTACGATTTTTTTAAATAATTGATGGATTCGACCGTTACTTGATGGAAATTCATTTTATGTAACAATAAAACACTGAAAACTTTGTTTTCAAACTTCCACAAAATTTATTTTAAATCTTATCACTACAGCTGTTTCGGCTGATAGCCTTTCTCAAGTGATCTATTTTTGGCTTGGGTTTACAAATTTATAGTCTCTAATGAAATAGGTTGAGGAGGGGAGAACTGTTTGTCTCAAGTTGGTCATTCAGAATTATATCTGTGTTTTTTAATTTGTTGATTTCCATAGATTCTAACAAAGATAGCTTAAGGCCTTTAGTTTAGACTATACACAATTCATCATCTCATCCAACACAACCTAAACTGGCAGCTTATCATAGTATGTTACATAGATTAACAGAAATTCCGATGTCAAAAGACAACTTTCAGACAGAATTAAATATAATTAAGCAAATAGCAGTAAACAACGGATACAACGAACAAACAATTAATAAAATGTTAAATCAAAAACTACACAAGAAAGCCCTGAAATTAGTATTTCCACCACCAGAGAAAAAAACCCAGTACCTTCTGCTCGATTACATATACAGGCAAAATAACAACAAAAATTGCCAAACACATAAAAAAGAAAGGAATAACACCAGCTTTCCGAACAAATAACAACCTAGGTAAATATATTAAAAATAACAAGAGCCAAAATAAAAAACCCTTAAATAGTGGTCTGTACAAACTTCAATGTGGCGACTGCCCAAAAACTTACATCGGTCAAACTGGTAGAAACTTTGATAAACGAATAGCAGAACATAAAAGGGTTTTCAAGAATAGAAAAACAGATTCTACATACGCACTTCACCTTCTAGATCATAATCATTCTTTTAATGACAAATTTAAAATTCTTCACATTCAAAATAAAGGCCTTAAGCTATCTTTGTTAGAATCTATGGAAATCAACAAATTAAAAAACACAGATATAATTCTGAATGACCAACTTGAGACAAACAGTTCTCCCCTCCTCAACCTATTTCATTAGAGACTATAAATTTGTAAACCCAAGCCAAAAATAGATCACTTGAAAAAGGCTATCAGCCGAAATAGCTGTAGTGATAAGATTTAAAATAAATTTTGTGGAAGTTTGAAAACAAAGTTTTCAGTGTTTTATTGTTACGATTTTTTTAGACGACTCTGTATAAGGCGACATCATCAGATACGAATTTATTACTTTTTGTATATTTTCTTTGATGTAATTATTAAAAACGAGATACTTACAGGCTATTTTCAACTTGGCCACATTGGATAAAAGAGCTCCTGCTCGGTTTTTGACCAAACATCGATATTCTCCCACGTATTCGACGTCCGAATTTTTGCTCGAAATAACTTTCGGAATATACAGATCTCCATTGTCGCGAACGATTCGATTGGGATCGTCCTCGAGAATTTTCTGTTCATTGTGGAACCAAGTGTACTGAAAAATATACCATATATGATTGAAAATCGGCTTTTAAGGGAGGTTTTAAGGAATACGGAAAGGGTGGGTTGGGAAAAGGCATCGTTGTGCTGTAAATAGCCATAAAGGATACGTAGGTTTGAATATCCAGTGTGGTAAATTAGGAATTATAAAAAAAAGGATCAATCACTCCAACGCAAGAAGAGTAAAAATTAGGAGACAACTAAACGAAACCCGAAGCACTAAAAAGATTAAAACAGAATATATAGAGAAACTTATAATGAAGTGTTAACCTTCTAAATAATGTAATTGCTATAATAATTTATAAAATTATGAAAATATCCAAAAAATTACAAAATTATTCAAAACATTGTCGGTCCTATCAGAATATCTGAAAGAAAGTAATTCCACTTTACTTTAGTGTAAAGGAGTAAAACCTTTACGGTTATTGTTGTTTCAAACAGTCAATTTATTACATGTTAATTTTTTTTAAATTTCTTCTGACGTATCGTGTAATGTATGTTTACCCAATAATCAAAGATATGCCTTTACAAGAACATATTATTTGAAAAATAAGGAGTAAATACCATGTGTCTTAATAATAGTAACCTCCTTTATGCACACTTTAAAAATTTGTTTAATAATGTATTTCTTAAATCCACAAAATCATTGAAAAATGATTCATGCTGTTTAGAAATATCATTCTGTTAACGACACTGTCATCGACGAAGTAGATCAAATTTAAACGTCATCATATATCTCTTATGTTTATCGTTAACAATTAATTGATGGTCGTGGGTTGTATTTGTGTTATTTAATAATTTAACAAAATACATAATCAGCAATCAGTGTTTATGCTTGTTTAGCGTTTACTGTTAAATAATTTAAGTTCGATCGTTTCGCTTGTGGTACAGCCCTCGTCCTTTTTAGGGTGTAGCAGTTGTATATAAGGACTTACTTTTTATAGTAGTGGAGTGAAGCTGTACTTTAAAGCAAAATGAGTAATTTGGAAGAAAATAAAATAGAGTCAAAACGTAGAGTGTTATCTCCAGGCGTTTAGTTCTAAAAGTCGAAAGTTATTTCAATTTGGAAAAAAATAATATGGGTCTATTGACATTTGTTAAGGCGTCAGAAACGCACACACGATGCTTGCGGTATCTCGGAGAGGACATTCCGAAGAATTAATAACATGAGTGAGGATGAAATAAATAAAGTAAGCGAGAGAAATCGTCGGCATCCAAAAACTTTAGATTTGCACCAGTCAATTAAACTTGTAATTAAAAATATATATGTATAAGCCAAAGAACATGTAAGAGTTAGTGCTGTGTTACAAAAAATAAAAGACAAGTAACTGTCATATTAGTTTAACAAGTTTGTGGAGAGTGCTGAAACATTTAGGTTTTCGATATAAAAAGACAAATAATAGACAACTATTGTGTGAACTCTCTAATGTTGTTTCAAAACGGTGGCATTTTTTAAGAAAATACATGAACGTCTGATAGTAGGAGGCAAGTTGTATTTTTAGATGAAACTTGGAGTTAGGAGAAAATGTGTTAAAAAAATTGGAGCGACCATTAATAATAGTGTTCGATAATGAATCCTACCACTCGAAAGTAGAACAGAAATTTTCTTCCAGCAGATGGACAAAAGGAGAAATAAAGTTGTGGTTGTCAGAAAAGAAAATTTATCACAGTGACATATTTTTAACTCGATTTACTTCAAACCTACTTCGCCCTACTGTCTAAATTGTATTAGACATACGGAAGACATAATCGTCCAGTCTTTTCAAACGAGTTATAAATGAGAACCGGCCTCTAATCATTCGGATAGACAATTCAGATAGTGACGACTCTGATAGCGAAATATCAGACAGTGAATAGGACAAATCGTTTGCTAAAAAGAAGAAGAAAAACAAAAGCCACATAGTTTTCACAGCTAGGTATATAGCAAACGTCATTTAGGATAAAATTTTATTTACTTATCAACGAGCAATCACCCAATTAAAATACAATGTAAACATTATTGATAAATTACAGAAGATTCTCAACGTAACCTACTTAAATTAAATTTAAAAAATTTAATCATACAAAAAATAAAAGTAGGAACAGTAAATAAAAAAACAATAACAAAGAATGCACAAAACACAAGCACATCAAGCTATCACACACAGTTCTTAAGCTGAGCTTTAAATTCTTTTGGAATATTATAACAATCCATCCTTTGGGATGATTGATTGGCAAACCTTGGTGTTCCAGACGTGAAGGAATTGTGTCCGTAGTTTGTGCGATGGGGTCTAACATAAAAGAATTGATTTAGCCTTGTTTTTCTACTGGGAACAGATTAATTTTTTCCAATAGTTGACGAAAAATAATAGAGTGCAGTATACTATAAAACATAGTGAGATATTTGTGCATGCGTCGGATTTGGAGAGAAGTTATGTTGATGGACCTTTCCATATTTGAATAGTTAATTTTTTCAATCCTCTGGTTTTGTTTAAATGCAACAAATCTTAAGAATTTGTGTTGAACTCTCTCAATAGCTTGAATTTGGGTGTTATAAGTGAGGAGACCAAACACATGAAAAGTAATCTAGGTGGGGTTTCACAAGTGAACAATACAAAATTGTTATGGATGAGATATTTAGAAAGTCTTTAGCACAACCTTTGATATACTCTAAAAGTTGAACTGATTTTGAGACGACAGATGAGCTATGGGGGATGTAGGATAAGCTGGAATCGAGCACAACACCTAGGTCTTTTATCTGAGATACAGAGTCTAAAGGTCAATCATTAATAGTATAGATATGATTTGTAGGAGTTTTATTCCGACCAAAAACCATTAAATGACACTTTTTAACATTAAGTTCCATTCCGTTGCTGTCATACCAAGAGCTCAATCGATTCAAATCAGACTGTAGCTTTTGATAGTCACCTCATTCTCAATTTTCAAATATAATTTTAAATCGTCAGCAAATATTAGGAAAGAAGCAAAGAGGAAACAGGAGGCAATGTTATTAACACAGTTATTGAATAGAAGAGGTCCTAGGTGTGATCCTTGTGGTACTCCTGAAAGTACCTTAATCTCAAATGATTGAAATCCCTGAACACGTACTATTTGTATTCTTTCAGTTAGGTAGGATAACAACCATTCTAAAAGTTCACCCTGGATACCCAGACTCCTCAACATTGATTAAAATCTTGTGATTTACCCGGTCAAACGCCTTCCCGAAAATGCGGAAAATATAGTATTTCAGCCCGAATTTACCGAACTCCATCGATCGGAAGTTCGGCATTCATTTAAAAGCGTATCTGCGAGGTGTTAGCTACTGTTAAAGGTCAGTGTTATCTTCTATTTAGACAAAAATTCGCAAAATGGGCCCTTTTAAAACTTGACCGACGAATTCATCATAATTTAAGTTTGCTGTATCTTACAACGCAATTACCGACATCGTGATTGAAGGCGGTTTCTTGGAGAACCCTAATACGTGCAAGTTTATAACAAACTACTTCGTTATAGTTTAAAGTATTTACCTGTACTTGGCCTTTCCGAGATTCTGCTTCACACTTGAAACGTGCACTTTGTTCTTTCTGAACAATCACATCCTGCGGATCGATCACTCTTAAGGACAGGTTTATGTTGGGTGTTTTAACGGCTTTCCCGCCAAACGCTGCAACAAAAATATAAAATTAATATAAAATACTTTTCAAATAACAGATATCAAAAATCAGTTTGGATTTTCGGATACTCGAATAAATAGTAATAAGTAATTTTTATTATAAGGCATCTGATGGTAAAATATGGGAATAAATAAGTAATCAAACCATGAATGTGTTGCTTGTGTGAGTCCATTTCAAATAAGTAAAAGAAATAATAAATAAGACTTACTAACAATCACTTTAATTTAACTATCTAGAAGACCGGTTTCGCTTTCTTCTTCTTCTTCTTACGGTGCCTTATCCTTAAGGACGTTGGCCATTACATTTGCTCATTTAATCTTATTTGTAGCAGCCCTGAATAGTTCTATGGAAATCATGTTCGTCCATTGCCGTAGGTTTTTAAGCCAAGAGTTGCGTCTCCTTTCTGGTCCTCTTTTGCTATTGACTTTGCCTTCGATTAAAGTTGGAGCAGTTCATACTTTTGATTTTTTATGATGTGACCAAAATATTGTGTTTTCCGTTCTGTTATTATAAGCATAAGCTCTCTTTCCTTATTCATCCTCCGCAAGACTTCCGCATTTGTCGTACGGCTCATGTAGGATATTCTGACCATTTTACGGTAACACCAGAGTTCAAATGCTTGAATTATTTTTTGTGTTGCTTCTGTCATTGTCCAGGCTTCAACACCATAAAGCAAGGTAGAGAAAACATAGCACTTAAGTATTCTAGTTCTCAATGAAATGCCCAGCTGGCGGTTGCATAGAACTTTTTGCATTTTGTAAAACATTGTACGTGCCTTTTCTAGGCGTATTCTTATCTCTAGTGAGTGGTCCCAAGTTTCATCAAGATTACTTCCAAGGTACGTTGTTCTTGTTACTCTTTCCAGATCTGTTCCGTCGACATTAACTTTCACCCTTCTGTTTTGGTGCTTGCTGATAACCATCGTTTTTGTCTTCTTTGTATTCAATTTCATTCCAAATTCTCTACAGGCTGTCGTTATTCGGTCCATTAAGCGTTGCAGGGCTTCAGCATTATCAGCCAGTATGACAGTGTCATCAGCATATCGCAGGTTCTTTATACATTGCCCGTTGATAATTATACCATCCGAGGTGTCTTCCAAAGCTTTCTGAAATATGTTCTCAGAGTAAACATTGAACATCAAAGGTGATAGGACACATCCCTTCTTGATATTGATTTTTCCAGATTTTTCGCTTTTTTTCTACAATTTGCAAAGCATCTTCAGGTCTGTCGATACAAAGTTAATTAAATGATGCCGGTACCCGATTAATTAATGGTTGGGAGAACATAGTTCAAACTATTCTGTAATTGCTGATGATGGGGATCTTCAGTTTTTACTATTGTAATTGTTTGACAAGCAACGGGGAAGTTTCTTGAGGAGATAGATTTTATCCAATGAAGTGGTTAGATAGTTAAATTAAACTGATTGTGAGTAAGTCTTATTTATTTTTTATTTTACCTAAATAAACAATCCTTTATACTGTGACCACACACTACGTGGTGTACCTAGTAATGCAGTTCCATGCGCGTTTCTCGTTAGATGTTGCAGACACGTTTTAGAAGAAAAAATTGAATCTCGGACTTTCGTATCTTACTTTAGTTTCCTTAAACCTATCGTATTTTTTGTAGAATTTAATAGACTAGAATAGATAATATTATTATAACATAAATTAAGATTTTTTAAAGACAAAAATATTTTTTTACTATTCTTTTTATCAATATGACAGTACTAAGATAATCTATTTTTATTTGATTGACTTTTCCTTAATCTTATATTCTAAAACGCTAAGCCTTTTTCTTGTCCACCACTTTACTCAAAAACCATATTAGATAATTAAAATATTTTTTCGGAATATTATTAGTATTACGTATGAGATTGTCAGATATACTTTTGGTACAAAAATTCACTTCCGGTTTTGAGATGACCGGAAGTTAAAATTTACTTTAAGTTTTAAACCCCACAATGTATATATGGATCGAAAGGTCTCGTCGAGACGAATCTAAATATGTGCTTCCGGTTGCGATCCGACACCGGAAGTGACCCGAAACGCGCATAAAACGTCAAGATAGAGCAAATCTGACACCGGATTCGTGATCAGCATGCAAAATTAACTGCTAAATGATATCCATGTCGACATTTGATGAACTAAAAATTGCATTCCGGTTTTGAGGTCGACTTCCGGTTTCGTTTTTATTAAAAAGTAAAAAGTAAAAGTTTACATAACTCCCGGTGCCAAGCAAAAGTTTTCAGAAAATGGAGACATTGTAACAAAAAACATAATTGTTTTCGACGAAATATTTCGTGATATTTAATACACTTTTTACTTGCAATATCATTGATGAGTGTTATGTATATTCTTACTTATATTGTTTGTGTTAATCTCTTAATTTTTCTCGCAAAATAAAAATTTCATATAAAAAACTCGATGTCGAGTTGGTCCGCTAGTTTTAATTGAATTTGTTTTTTTTTTGAAAGGACGTAATTGACAAAATCAAAACTTTTGGGAAACTATAAAAATCCACTTTTAGACTGAAATAAATTTTTTATTCGAATTTTAACTGTATTTACTCAAATATATACCTAACACGATTAGATTACACTTTTAAAACAATCAATAGTAATTTTTGTTTATTAGTTAATAATTAAAAGACTTTGCTACGATAAGCTCTTTTAAAAAAAATTAAATTTTAATGGTAAGAAGTAACAAAAAAAGTTTAAAAGATATGGTTTTATTGTTTAATACAAATTGTCACTTTATAACAGAGAATTACAACAATAAAAATACTAAAATTTTTCCCTTCAGAAGCATGTCCTTAAAACTCACTTTCATTAAAGGCCTCTTTGGTTTTTGGCCAGTCAAATAAAGCTTCATAGTATTCAAAGTATTCATGTGGAATAAATTCTCTCAGTTTCTTGAGGTCTTTGATCTTGGCCTTCTTTATTGGGATCTTATCAGTCTTATGCTAGTTGGTTGGTGAGAGTTAAACATTTTGAGTGTTTTGCCATAGAAAAAAGTGTGGCTGACTAAGCCTTGTATTGTGTTGTGAGTTTTAATATAGCCTTTTTTCTCTTTGTCATAAACAAAATGGAACAAACTTTTTACTTTTCTCTCTTTTAGGATATGCTTTCCTTTAGTTTCAGAGGAAATGCACGATTTTTTGTAGTGCTCTGAGTGCCAACTTTTAAAATCTACAATATCTGATGGGTTTACTTCCATTACAGTAAGTTTATTAGTTTTTGAACTTTGTATTATAAGCTCAGAAACTTGGTGTAATGTAAAAATGCGGTCATGCTGACGCAAAACTTTGGCAATCGTGCCAAAGTTCCTGTCACAGGGAAGAAAGCTGTGGCCACTTATAGGGAAAAACTGTTCAACTTCGTTGAATCTGCCACTGTCTGTCAAATACAGGCAAAATCTAGAAAGGGCCTGATTCTTATTTTGCCCGCCACAGTTATCTGCAAATAAACAAAGCGGGGTTCTAGTTGTTGGAATGTTTGTCGAGAAGGTATTCAAAAAACTACAAACTTCAATGGGACCTTTATGGCCTAAGCCTTCGTAATACAGGTAAATGTTCCTTTTATCAGTCTTCAAATTGTAGATAAAAAAGATATTAACAGAAACCTGTCTTAAGTAATACAGTTGCTGTACTGGTATTTTAGGTAGGCTAATAGTTTTCATGTAATCAATTGCTATTGATAACACGTTTTCTTTCTGTTTCCCTTCTTCAGATTGCTTGTGCTTAAGAGCCTTGTAAAACTTTTGGCTCCGTCTCTTATGAACAAGTACCTCGGCTACTACGACTCTTTTTGCAACCTCATTAAGATGGGGTGATTTAATTTTCAAATTTAGTTCCTCGCATTTACAACAGGTGTCTACCTGAGGACGCCCAACGACAGTTGAAATTGTTTTTAAAGTGTCTCCAATATACTGTTTGGCTTACCTTAACATCTGAGGACTGTTAACAGAACAAAGTCCACGTTTTTTCAAGTTCAAATCTATACTTAAGTTGTACATCTATTTACCCGAGTAGTGTGACTCCTTAAGTGGAAAGGACCTTATGTGGTTACTCAAAATATCATGGACGTTTTGAGGAAGAGACCTACTTATACTTTTTCCTCTTTTATCTTCTGGAGTCTACCCTACTATTGTCAACTCTTTTACTCTACGAAGCCTTTTTTCACTGACATTAGTGCTTGTGTTCTTTCTATACCTGATATAACATGATAGGTGAAAGTATGTGAAACTCTTGGACTGTTATTACCTTTTTGATTAGGGCATCTTCTTTGAATGTTATTTACATCTATGAGGCTTTGTAGGTAAATGTCTTGTTCATTCTTGCTATTTATATTGTAAAACTTAGTAAATATGTCTACACCGTTGTCTTCTCCAAGTTTCTCTAGACGTCGGGTAAATTTTTTTTAAAAGGGCGTTGGTGCTGTCACGTACGCCCTTTTAAATGTACCCAAAATATTCGTCCTTGTTTTTAACATAGATAGAATGTTGTTACTGACGCCTTTTTAATAGAAATTGATGCAACTATCCTCGAAAAACCGAAATCACACAAAAAATCGATATGTCAAAAAATATTACGTACACCCCTTCAAAAAAAAAAACCGATTCAATTGAAACACTATATTATAATCCATCTAAAAGAGCTTTTTTTAAGCTTTTGTATGAATGTCTTTCATGTATTCAAAATTTTTTTATGCAATGTTTTTTATGCGCTTTTCTGTCTTCTTCTTCTGCACTTCTTTAGTCACTCCCGGAGTGCCATATCCCGTTTTTATTTTGGTTTCCTTTTCACAAAAAGTTATTTTTTTAGAATAATCTTGTATTGGAAATTAATTTAATAAAGTTTTAAAACTTCAGATTCAGACATAAAAAGAAAAATCGGTCGATAAATTGCTAAAAGCAAAAGAGCGATTCTTTTATAAACTGGTGATGAAATTGATGAGGGACGATATCTTATGATATTAATACAAAACGTCGTG